CGAAATCATCTCGTTACTTACTGAAAATCTCAATATTTTTTATTTACACTTTCCTCGACTATTTGAGAGTGAAAAAATATAGAATTCCTGAAGAAGTTAGCAACATATTCAAGTAAGACTAAAATCAACTGGAACAATCTAGGCTGTTTAGTAACTCCCCCCAATACTTAAGTGTATTTTACTGAGGTATGCAACATGTTACTAAAGTAAACCGGTAACCTTATAATCCAAAGTTAAACGGTGATCAACACACGCTATAGACATTTACGTTACAGACTGTCGTCCCAGTTTCTTGCCCCTCCCCAGGAGCAGTTTACTAATTCCACCCTGCTTGGAGTTAACAAGAGGGCGGATCCACAAAGTGATCCACTTCGGATCCAATTGTGATCCAGTTGCTTCACAGGACCTTGGCAGGGAATGGACGCAGTCCAGTTGTGAAACTCTGGACAAACGGGCAGAATGCTTTCACTGGTTGTGTCCTGCATGAAGATAAGAGAGCCTTTTGTAGCAAGAACGAGTCGTGCTCTTGGAGCAACAAACTGAAGCAAGCGTTGCTGAGAACTTGTAAGCTGGAGTAAGGTACATTCTATACGAGTCCAACATTGAATATACTAACCAATGGTGTATACGTAATCAATGGTTTCATATATGTTGCAAACGCTACAGTTCCTTAGAGAATATTGCCTTTATTTATTTGTGTGTTCCCTATGATGTTACTCTTGTATGTAACGCCCGTAACAGACCCTAGCTAACAATAACCAATGCAATGCAGTTCTTAGTTGTCCTGGGAAATCTGTCGAGGATAAAGTACCCTGTAAAATCAGTTAAAAAATAAGTTATTGATTAAAAAAAGCTAGGGAGTAAGCGTTCCTTAGCAAATACACAAAACTTTATCTAAAACTTTCATATGCGTTGTCCTTTAGTAAAAGCGACAAGGGTTTTCAAAACGTGTACATCGATGAGTATTCTATGGAAACCGACAAAAACCGATCCTGTAAACCATCTGTAGAAGCATTAGTTTTTATGAAGACGAGCAAAGAAATTACCGTTCTAGTTCTAGATTTGACTCGAGAAATACTTGTTAAGAGAACAAAAAAAGTAGTACACTTTGGTGATAAATAAATGATAACATTCTTCGTGATGGGTTCACTCATCATTATGATGATTGACGATGATGAGAAATTCACGAACTATAATTTCATGCTGTTTTAAAACTGGTGTTCTTGTGTGAAAACCACAAAATATAATATTTTTAGCATCTCCGAAATTACAATTTAGCGATTGCAAGCTAAATGGTTACTGAACATCTAAGGGTATTGAAATACATTCAAACTTTTACTTATACTTATAGGATTCAGCATCACTCCTGTTGTTCCTTTATTGAAAATATGTGTCAACCCTAACGTTCCTTATTTAACGTTGATAATTGTTGTTTCCATCAATATCATCCGTTGGTGTGTTGCTATCCTGGTGGTTATCATTACTCCCGATGCGGGAGGAACGGGTTTGATTCCATAACATCAACAACACAAATTGGTTTGGACGGATTTCCCTACAAGCGTTTAAGTACTTGGGTACATTTCCATATCTGTTGGCACAAACAACCGAATGAAAATATCGATCGATATATCGATTATTCGATATATCGTTTGGTTAAGTTAGGTAAGGTTAACTTAACCTAACTAACCAAACGATATATCGAATCAAACAATCGAATAATCAATATCACTCATTCGGTTGTTTGTGCCAACAGATATGGAAGTGTACCCAAGTACTTCCTCTTGTGATCCCTCATGTACAATTGCCACCGGCTTAGACATAAAAAGCAATTGTACTCAAACTTGGTGTCTCCAAGCATCGAAAACTCCTGGAAGATTCTCTTTGTCGTAATGGAGAATAAGTTCATCTCTATGCATTTTATACTAAACATATTCTCAACTTCTATTACAACTTTTCAATTTTCCACACCCTTGAATCTACCAACACCGTTACAATGTCAACAAGTTAGGTAAGCCATTCGGGCGCGGCTTATAGTTTTATTGTTACTCCGAGGCCGACTGCATCTTGGCCAATATTTTGACAAGTCCACACCCTTAGGTTACTGAATTCCGCACCGTTCAATGCCAGAGATATTTTTAGCTCGGTATGAGGCTAAGTTTCCTCGGGTTATATATTTCCCGCTCTTTTCTTTGTTTACAAATGTTGACGGTTTATTTTTGTCAGGATTTCATTGTGTCCTTCGGAGGGGAGCGAGCAGGTAGACTTCAGTCCCTCAGGACCCGGGTTCAAATCCCGCTATTCACCTATGGATTTTAGTGATATTGCTGCAACCTCTAGATCTAGTATGAAATAATGTGAACAACAATCCCGAAATTGAGCCTAGCCCCTTATGACAAAACATTTTGGCCTTTGGAAATATCAGGATAAAGTGTCCTTTTGAGCTTTTCCAAAAGCTTGTGGAGAAAAGCCTGTTAGGCAAGTTTTACAAAATATGTACCTCTTTTGTGCCCAATCCATTACTTTTTGGAGACATCTTTAGTTTCAGTATAGTTTTTTAGGGGAGTTTTAAAATGTACATTGTGTGATAATCTTAAAAATTATATTTCTCCATTTTTCTGGTTACACATCTAACCTTCTGCTTTACCCCCCCATTTAAGTCACGCATTTAATTTGTCTATAACACAAATCTTTACCTACACACTAAGTTACTAGTATCAGAAATACCAATCGCGTATCGTGTACATATACAGTATACATACCACTTAGTTTCCACGATGCACGAAAATGTGGTTTAATTCAAATGAAAAACTTACCACTTTAAAAAAAATACTACTCTCCGTTTTACGTTAAACTACACACAAAACACTTAACAGTCCTTGGAGGCTATTGGCCATCTTGCATAATTTTAAACAACTGCTAAGGAGTTATTTATGGTACAAAAATATTTTTTTTAACAACAGACAGATTGAAATTTAAATATCTAGTAAACAGTGAGATTTGAGATTTTCATTGTAGTTCTTTAACTGTGTTATGAGTTAGAACGTATAGGCTCCAAGGACTCTTAAAACCTGCGTGACAATTCGGTGAAAACGTTTCTTTTAACCTGTAAAATGTTACACTTCATTTTGCAATTCCAGAGTCTAAATCAGCTCATCGTGATGGCTTGAGGGTTTGGCTATCGTGACAGAAAATAGACACATCACCTTCTCTACAACACACCTCCTGACACTCAGATCACACCTTAGTGTGCCTGGCAATGCCACGATTTCGGACAAGAAATCGTAAAACATTCCGTAGTCAACAAATATAATTTAAAATTCAAAATAATACAAAAATAAAACTGTGAGAGAACATCTCACAGGTATTTGCACATTCGAGCTAGACCTAAAGGGCCAAGAAATTATCTCTTAGTTAAGATCTGTTGGTGATTTGCAGGATTTGAACCTGGGTCCTCAAAAATGAAGTATTGCGTATTAAAATTAGACCAGCCCACTCCCAATGTTGGGCCTTGGACAATTTTAACTTGATATAAAGACATAGTGGTTTCTTTCAAAAGGATCGGGCAAAGAACTCTTCAAAAATATCCGAGTTGTTTTTATTTCTTTATCAAACTAATATACGGCAACATTTAGTATAGAGGAATTTCATGAGACGTAAATAACTGATTAGGCAACAATTAAGACTTTCTTATTCAAAAATAAGGAAGACTATTAGATAAACAAGACCTACTGATCTTACTGGAAAATTCAAGTGATAATTTAACTTCTAGTAAGCATGCCTAGGAGGGATATCGTCTTCACTTTTCTTTTCCGAATTTTTACAGTCTACTTGATGTAGGATGAAGGCACTGACAATAGAATTGGCCTAATTTGATCGCCCTCAGTGGGAAAGAAAAGAAAAGAAAGCTACGCAAGCTCAGAGAGATGCGTGGGAGACAGCTTATGTCAGAAGGCAGATAAAAAGAGAATGAGAAGCATAACAGGAAAATGAGAAAATGTAGCTTGTTTTCTCATGTATGTGGTTTAAGCTAAAGGAACTCCTCAGACAAAGAATGTTAACGTAAGGATAACAACCTTACGTAATTAACTAAAGAAAAATCTTCACAGTTACAAAATTAAAAAAAAACTTCTAAGAAAACTATTTCACTACGTAAGTGTTTTTGTCCTAAAACGCAAGGTACGAGTCTGGAACCGTTTTTCACATAACCTTAAGCTAGACCTCGGGGTGAGGCATTATCATTTGGATAACATTCATTGGTGATTTAGAGAGATTTAAGCCCGGGACCTCAGGACTTAAGTCCCGCGCTCCAACCACTAGACCAGCTCACTTCCCGCTACGTACGTAAAATAACGTTCGTGGTTTAACCACGTATAACATATTTTTAACCACGTTTAAAATATATTTAAACCATAGAATCGCAAAGACACGTGGTAAAATGACGTCTCTGTTGGGCCGAGCCCTCAACTTTCTCTCAAACCTTGAGGTTCAGACGCCCAGACTCTAGAGGCTGCCGGGGGCTTGAATAGTGGATGACCCTTGGATGGTCAAATACCAGGGAAAGTTAGATTTATAGAGCAATCCTCAATGTGACTTACACTGCTTGACCTCTGGGAGTCAACAGCAACCTGTGAAATTACCGACCCATTTCACTAATAACGACAAGACCAAATAATTTGCAAAAATAAAACCTCAGTATTATTATTTTGTAAAATTGATGGGTTATAAAGTCGTGAACTTAAACTTGTCTTTGGCAGTTATTAATTCAGCCTACATGAAGTCGAATAAAAAAGCTTAGATATTTTGAGTTTTATTACTACACTTGGCTCTATAAGGGAAAAATCTTTTTAACCAACGATTTACAGCTTAACGTTGTGTGACAGGACCGTAGTTTATATAATTTTAATCGCATGCTTAAATGATATTTTTAGATAAATTTATTTATATAGTAAAATAATTATTTATTAAGATTTCAAATTTAATTTTGAATTGATTTTTTTCAGGTGCATGACGAGGTTTTAGACCAGTTGGAATCTATGTAACAAGGTAAGATTTTGTTAATAATAAACTGTAGTTTACTTGGCTATATGAATTTAAAATTGATAGACGACTTTTTACTAGGAAAATTTCAACTAAAAATTGACTAGTTTATAGCTTTAATTCATTGGCATCACCTTTTCTGGTTTAAAAAAGATTTTTTGTATGTTTTCGTTTATGTGTTTTTAGAGGGAGTAAAAAATCTAACAAATGATTATATAAGACTTGAACGGATCCGTTTTAGGATCTCTAGGAGATCCAGGTTTCACTGCTCCACATTTTAGGATGATAATTTGTCCTCGATTACATATCTGTGAGCACAGGTGTGGCGGATTCTTATTTATGCACACCAGTTTGATACTATGTATTTAATGATTTCCACATTGCGTTCTAGATCTCAATCACTTTCAACTTCAAGATGTGCAAAATTGTAGCAGATCAGAGATTTTCTAAAGTAAGAAAGAGGTCTATGTTGAGTAAAGTCTAATATGGCATACAGTTATATTTTAATTTTTTCTCTTTAAAAGTTAATCCATCCCCTAAGTGATTTTAAATTGTAGTATGGTATAACCACAGACTAATAATCAAAACGCAAGTAGCTCTCATCCAATAGTAAATTTTGAAGCTCGATTTTCGTGTCTAATTCATGACCGGCGACACTAATCGCTAGTTTAGACGAAATTTTGTTTCTCATGATTTGTGCTTTACTGTTTGGTTATATAACCAGGGGACGAGTTATTGTTTATGATTACACCATTTTATTTAGTTAAACAAGGTTTTAAATTACTTAAATAACCAGAAACAAATTGTAAACAAAACACCTCTACAGTGCACAGGTCAGAACTAGCAATAAAATTGTCTTCAGCTGTTCCATAAGGATGAGAAATATACTAAGGAAGTATGTTTTATATTGGATACTGAAGTAGACGTCCCATCTATATGGACCAGCTGTAGCCAATGTTTAAAAAACGTAGTTGTGTGAGTCAGTCGCAGAATGCGCTAGTGGCTAAAACTCTATTTTCCAACTTATTTTTTGTTGCTGGCCAAGTTGATGGGTTATAACAGTTGCTATATCTCACAATAAGTAATTTCATTAGTTTGTTTTATCTATGTATGGTATAGCAAAACAGGGCAAAAAAGGAAAATTTTAGAAACCTGTGAGACAGCAACATCTTGTATTACATGCATAACCTATATATATATATATATATATATATATCTACATGTCCAATAATTATTTTTATACGTGAAAACTATAAAGAACCACTATATTTAAAGCTGATCGGTGTTGTAAAATTCATTGTTCAAATATCACGTATAGCGACCGTAACACATCGACTCCGAAGATTAAAATCTTCTCTCCTTTCACTCTCAAAGCCTTGGCCACTTTTCCCCACACATATGTTTAATTAATCTTAATTCAAGATGACCATGAAATATACACAATTTACTTTAACAGTTTCTCTGTGGCAACAGACTTGTTTAACTAATTATTTTGGGATATGTTAAATAATGTGCAATGCATGGGACCTAGTAACTACATGTATTGTTGTACTTGTGTCATCATTGTTTACTTGCGGTGCTTACTAATTTGTGTGCGTTGCTATTTAATTTATTTAATGTGTGAAACTATTAATTTAGTTGGTTAGTCTATTTGTACTAGATTATAATCATATAGGATCATATTAATCTTATGGGATCAGTGAGTGAATATCTATCTTCAACATAGGTAATACATAAGGAGTTTACTCTTTGACGTTCATTTTTCACCCGTCCAAGAAAAACCCCTGCACCGGGGTTTTTGATTGATGTGTGATTTAAACCAGCTTATGGTATTAAAATTAAATCTGCTATAGGGCTTCGCCCCCTAACCTTAGTTTATTTCTAGATGGTGATTTCAAAGTTATTTTTTCTGAAGAAGTAGCTTTATAGTGTTTAATGGGATTTGTAATTTAAAAACTGATCACCTTCAGTAATAATTTAATTCACAGTGAGATTTTTACTATTTGTAATTTGTATGTCAACGTCAAAAACATTGTTTAAAGATCCTAAACAAGAGACGAAACTGTTTGTGTGTATAAATTTTAAAAAGGCTACTTTTATCGATAATTGTAGCCTAAATGAGTGAGTAAATTATGTTTTGTGGATCTAAAATTTACACATATAAAATATTGTAAATTAGTACTCTTATATACTTAATTTTTATACTACACTTACTACTTTTTATACTATTTGTCCATATCCTACTAAACATCTTATATTCTACAAAATACTCAATTTGCGACCACCCCCCTTTTATTTATTTCTGTAAAATCATTTAAAAGTCCACTCATCGATTCGGGAAAGTTTACTTTCTTTCCATTTTACGTCCATTCATTTCTACCTCCATACCGGAATCATTTTCCTCCTCCGCTCAATTTTACCCACTCAGACGTCAAACCGAAGTTTAATACTTTGCGGAAGTTCTGAGGAAAGTCTACTTTCTCTGGTGGTGAGTTGCGTAATGACCTTGACCCTTCGATGGAGTTAGGTAACTCAGCATTCCTCTGGTTGGAATTGTGTCAACAAGAGAGAGAGTGATAGACGGGAATCAGTTTATGGTGAAATCAGCGAGATCCAAAGGATAGACTACTTTTAAATTGCGCGAGTGACATTCTTGTCAAGCAAAAACTTCATTCTTTCCAACGGTTTAAGATTTTGCTCTAGTTTTTTAACATGTTAAGAATTTAAACACTGTGGTGGTTTGACAAAGTTTAATTATAACTAACAAACATGGCTTTTGCTATAGGATATTTTTGTTCAATAACTTCTCGTTGCCTCATGGACCTAAACTTTGTTGTCTTAAAAGATAAACCAACAGCTTAAGGTGGGTTCAGATTTGCTTGGTCATGGCATTATTGCATAGCTTTTGATAATTTTCACCCTTAATGACTAGAAAATATATGTGTATTTTGGGAACCAAGTGTATTAGACAACTCCACGTATCTAATCTTATTCAACGGTTATTCGACTCAAAACTAAATATAAATTTGCTTGGTCATGATATTATTGTTTAGCCGAAAGTCACTTGTGACCAATGGGATTTGAACCCCGAAAAGTTTGTGCAGAAGGCCTACTCTCTAAGCACTAGATCAGTCGCTTCTCGATCAAAATGTGAATAAATGTATTTAGCAAGACATCCAACAATTATGTTACTAAATTGATATTTTAAAGCATATAACGTTTACTCACTTACTGAAAGCTGCGTATCAAATTTAAAAGGTGACTTCTAAATTTAAACAATAATTTAAGAAAATTTACTACTAATTAACTAATTTTGAACAACTTTTAGTGGACATAAATTGAATACAATTTGAACGGTTAAATGAATATAAAATGGCATGATTGAGGATTTTACTGACTTTTTATAACGTAATGTATATAAAATAATACTAGCTGTTACCCACGGCAATTTTATTTCAAATGTAATATAATTAACTATAACAATAGTATGTCTCTGTAATTTGTCTATTATGAGTTGCCAAATTATCCACCTAACCGACGTGAATTTGCGACACTACTTTTGGATATTTCTTAATGCACTACCCTCCAAACGTTTCATGCTCAGAATTTGAATCCTAAGTAAATATTGATCACTTACTACAGAAACAAATATTATAATGTTTTTGTCAAGGGTTTCTTTTTAAATTTCTACAAACTTTAATCTTATTAAAGTTGATTCAACCCATTAATATTAGTTAAAATACTTTCTAAAATTCAATACTTTTATCCATACTTTTAGTTATAAAATCCAAACATTGTTCTATAACCGATATCCATTCTGTTCTAAACGGGTTTCAAAAGACGAACTTATACTATCCTTGGACACAGCTGGTCAATGCTACTCTACACATATCTCTAAATATATCTCTATGTAATTTGGTCCAAGGCTGGAGGACATTATCTAAATGTACATCGATCTTGGTGAAACTGTCCTCTAGTTATAATTTTGTCTTTTCATTCTCAATAATACCTCTAACGGATATCCTTGGCTGAACTTAATCATGATCCACGCCAGTCACTACGAAGGCCATTATATCATCCTCACAAAAGTGCTTACTCATTTTACTCTAAATTTTATATTAATGTTCACTAGGTAAACCGCTGTTATTTATCAAAAATATGTATTTTTATCTGAATAATAGTTTAACTAGTTAAAAGTATACCTTATCATTAAACTATCGATCAATTAGAGTAGTTCACGCATTTGTATATTTACTTGTACTAGAGATCGTCCAATGGTCGAAAACTCGACCAAAAATAAGTAATGTACAGAATTTTCTATTTCCACCCCACACTATAAATAAAACATGTGATTGAAATTTCTTCCATTTGTTTTGATTTTCTGTTTATATTGCGTTGTTATTTCGTCACTAGCATAGCATCCCATAAGGTCCATGTTAATTTGTTGTATATTTTAAATTAATTTTTTGTGCTTATTTTTTAGCCTATTTTAATTTACGAAGGGATTCTGTACATCTGCAGGAAAATATCATTCCAACAGTATGAATAGATTTTCCCTGCAATGCACACGAGCTGAGAAAAAAGGTTTTAAAGAAACATGCTTACCTATTAATATATAGATTAGGTTAATTAACGAGTTGTTTAACTTGATCTAAAGGGGTCGAGTCTATGGCAACAAAAAAACTCTATTCGATTAAATACAAATAAAAAAACTTAGTTTGATCGTGTAAAACAAAATATTACTTTATTAAACTACTCTATTTTTCTTCATATATCATTGATAATGCGATGAAAGTTAACTAGATAAATGTTCAAATGAATTTCTTTAAATTAATTATTATGTAAATAAATCTAATTTAGTGATTTTTGTATGTGAATAAATGGGGGTTATAAATAAATTTGTTTATAGTGCAACTATACCTACTTAAATATGTTGAACTATGTTATGCTGTTACAAAAATTACAGCTTTTATTTGTTTTTGCAAAAAGTGTTTATTGATATTTGT